TTTTACTGGGTTATTTCACTTTTTCTAATGTTCACACATTGTGAGTTTTTTTAGCTTTTCATTGTATTTGGCTGTGTCTGTATTTTTAAATAAACTACCTGAACAACAACTCATGTTTTTCAAAATCATCAAGCCAAAGAAAAATTACAGAAATAGAGGATTATTTTCCACTAAACACACCTCTCATACATCCGAGTACTTGAATTGTTAACTTTACTCACAGCAGCCTGTATAACCACTGGGTTATTTCACTTCTAACAATGCAATCATACATTTTAACCCTAACCCTTTTTTAGGATTTCTTTGTATTTGTTTTTAGCTGAAATTCAATATATTTTGTTTTAGCTGAAAAATAATACTCCAGACTTTGTTGTGAAATTGACATTGAGTTTAATTTCTCATTCTATTGTTCTCTGGTGTCTACGAGGATATTTAAAGGGTGTAAGGAAAAAACTTGTCTTGCTTTTGTTGACGACTGAGTTGTAAAACAATACTTTATTTTGTAATGGATCACTGCGCCTGTACCGTTTGGTGTCTTGTATACCAATGAGGGTTGAGCATATTTAACATAAATTGATAAATAATCCTGCAGTGTATTTAATACAATAATGTAATTCATGATATTCCTTTAATAGAATTTGAAACTGAACAAAACTCTCACTCTCTCTCTCTTTGTCAAGGTGACATCAGTGAGGATGCAGGGTTTGCTGCTCCTGGTTTTCGCCAAACAAGTCCACCTCCCCTACATCAGAGACATCCAGACCACCTACACTCGCACCGGCATCTTCGGCTACTGGGTAGGAAATCACAAGGCGAGCGCACGTCAGCTCTGAGCCTCAAAGATGACAACAACATGGTTAAACCCAGCACACCAGGAATCCCACTAGCATGAGATGCGGTGGAGTTTAAAGAAACTATGAAAGGCCTATTGTGTTTGTTTAGTGGAACATCAACAGCTTTTACTGAATGAAATCTCAAACAAAGAACACTCAGTGCTGGAACTGGTACATCCGAGGAAAACACCTCCACTACAAATGGTTGAATGCATGATTCAAGTTAAAGGAAAAACTTTATTTGATCAGTTTTTTTTAATTGATGCTAAAACTGGGAATCAATAAGTGTTCTTGAAATAGTATGTGTGATTTTCTTTTTGGTAAATACTGCAGTAGATGTCATGATTGTCTGTATTGATTCATGAAACACTGTGATCTACTTCAAATACTCCTTTACATTCCTCCTCCTCTGTTTATCTGTGTTAGGGTAATAAAGGAGGAGTGTCCGTGCGTTTCTCTTTCTACGGCCACATGGTGTGCTTCCTCAACTGCCACCTAGCAGCCCACATGAACTACGCTCTGCAGCGCGTCGACGAGTTTGAGTACATCCTCGAGACGCAAGATTTTGACATCAGCGAGAGCCCACACGTGCTGGACCACAAGTCAGCGCACGCACAAATGCACTGTGGAACATATGCACTGAGGGGTTGTTGAAAGGCAGTTGGCTCCATCCCTCTCTCTCTCTATCTCTCACAGGGTGGTGTTCTGTCTCGGTGACCTGMACTTCCGTATTGCAGACCACGGCTTGCACTTCCTACGCTCGTCCATCAACAGTGGACGCCTTAATTTACTGTGGAGCAAAGACCAGGTGATGTGCCAAAATGAGCACAAGCGCACGCACACTCACGCACAAACACTATAATTCTCCCTTGCCAACTTCTGTCGTGTCTTTGCAGCTCTTGATGATGAAGAAGAATGAAGCGTTCCTGCAGGAATTTGAGGAAGGCCCATTAAATTTTAAACCCACCTACAAGTTTGACCGCAACTCTGACACCTATGACACCAGGTAACCTGAGCTTCAAACAAGTCGCCAAAACAGACACACACTTTTCAAACATGCATCCAAACTTCATCTGTACTTCTCTTCCCATTTGACTTTTTTGCACAGCTCTCCGAAGACATGGTTTGGTTTTAAGTAAGACCTCTTTTGTGTCGCATGCCGCACGTTCTCTTATTTCTCAGTCACCGCACCATCTGTCCTTTTTCCCCAAAGCTTTAGCTGACATGTCTTTGGTTGGTATTTAACATGCACCCCCTGAGGCACACAGACAGAAAACCAAAGCAGAGAACCCTGATGCATAGATGCAATTGGGAGCAGCTCTTTCTGTGAGTCATATCCGTTCTTGACATGAGCGCCGTGTATGTGTCTCTCTCAGAAAGAGCACTGTGGCGCTGCCTCTAACCATGTACAGACCCAGGCCCCTGCAGCGTTGCAGCACCACCCTCTTCTTCCTCCTCACCTCCCTCACATGGGGGCTGCTCTCTGTCTGGTTGGGGGCCTGGTACAGGGAGCTAGACCCGCCAAGGTGGGTGTCTCCATAGACATGCCCTGTTATTTACATAGGATAGGTTATATAAACATAAAACCTACGATCACAAAATAAGTGGAGACACTGATGTAAATGACAAGACAAAAAGGGGTTTAGTAAACTAATCACCATGATGAATTTCAGATGTGATCTGCAAATTCATGAAACCGGAGGCGGCTCCCTCCTGCACCCGGCACCCCACTGTTTGTTCCTGCATTATGTATGTCTGGCTTTTTATAGTGAAAGTGCTTAGACATCAGCTATATGTCATTATATATCTGTCATTTCTTCACAGCATGCTACAGCTCTGCATCACGTGTTTGTGTGTGTCTGGTTTCTGTTTCCCATATTTTTGTATCAAAATAAGAATTGCAAGTTAGGTTGAAATGAATACTTCACACATGTGGTTACCATAAGAAACAGAGTATAACTTTTCAGCCTGTGGTACCAACACCTGTCTTTGCGTTGCTCAGTGGCAAGAAGAGGAAACCTGCTTGGACGGATCGGATCCTCTGGCGCATCAAACCCAAAGACCTGCCATCGGAGGATGATGAGAAAGCATCGACTTCTACCACCGATGGACAGGATGAATATCCAATCATGGTCACCCAGGATAAATACACCAGTGACATGAGCTATGGAGTCAGTGACCACAAACCTGTCATCGCAACCTTCAGCCTGGAGGTGAGAGCAGTCCTAAATACCACCACTAAGTGAAGGGGTTTTTTGTCCATTGTCAAAACTTATCCTCCTCTTGTTTTTCCATCAGCTGAGGAAATGCTTTGACACCCCGATGGTGCACATCTCTCCTGTGGGTGTATGGAGCGGCGACCAGGATGCAGTTCTTACCTACACCGTCCAAGAGGACTTCATGTCCTCCACATGGGACTGGATTGGCCTGTACAAGGTACTGAGACAGACATATATTGAAAAAGAAAATGAATGATAAAAGACAGATCTGACCTCAAGAGGTTGATGTCCTGCAGGTGGGATTCAAGAGTGCGTCCGACTATGAAACCTTTGTTTGGGTGAGGGAGAACGAGCTGCCAGAGACAAATGAAGTCATACAGGTAAATAACAAATTAGGCTTTAGCATTATATTGTTTATAATGAAAATAAGTTATGAGTGCAGGCTTCGTTATCAGACACGTGTGTGTTGTGGTTGCAGATATCTGTGGATAAGGATGAGATCCCTCTGCTAGGTGGACAGTATGTTTTGGGTTACTACAGCACAAACATGGGAAGCATCATTGGCCTTAGCTCAAACTTCCAGGTGAGTCATCTTTCAGTTACTTATTATCATTCCTCCACTGACATAATAGTAATCAATATTCACTGTTATAATGTCAGAAATAGATAAAGGCAAAATATAGCTCCAGTAATGAACATATAATGGAATTTCTAATGTAAAGAAAAACTATACATAAACATTGCACTTTACAGGCAAGGAACAGCAGAGCAATAATATTGAATTGCAATAGGTTATACAGGTGTGCCAAATATAGAGGTTACTGTATTTCCAGTAGTAAATGTGCATGGCAGTAGGTTGGTTCATTTAAGGATCCCATCTTTGTTCTGATCTTGCAGATCCTGGAGTCAAAGCGTGCTGTGATGGAGGGTCTCGTTCCTGAGATCATCAACGGGATCAACAAATAAGTACAAATTCATCACAGTGCCACATCATGTTCCTCTACCAGCAAATCTATACAGAACTGAACTTTCAGTTGCCTCGTGATCAACTGGATACATGGATACAATCTTGTACTGGATAAGCTGACTCATTAAATAACATCACATGTACTGGAATATTTGAGTTGTTGAATTTTGCATGGTAGGAATTCACCTTAAGTCAGATTCAGTCTTGCTGGAACAGTTCCTCATAAAGTGTTGTGAGTTTTTGCCTGTTAGAGCAGAAATACAGGAATAAACATGCCGAACAACAAAATACCTTTAAAAGCAAAAGGTGTGCTTAAGTTTGGTCTTTGAAAGTCGTGCAGAATGACCTGTCAATCACACGGAATAATTGTATAGATAATGTTGCCCGTTTTACTTTATCTGTGCTCTCTCATAATACAGGAAGATGCTGTCTTGCTATCAATTGTTTGCAGCAGCTATAAGACCCACATTTCTTGGGGTGGAATGATGAAGATGGGAGAAGATTTAAAAATATATTGTACAAATGAATCCCTTGAAGAACATGTAACGTTGATGTGGACTTTCACACTGAGGTGTTTTGAGTCATATATTGCTTTATGAACCATTATCTGTGTGGTAATATAAAACGTATGTGTATCATGACAGAGTATAAGGTGAGGAAACATCAATCGTAATAGATTTATATTTTGAATTTACCTGTGATTTAAATATTTCAAATATTTATCTTTCTCTGAACTTCACTGTAGCTTCTTATTTCAGTCAAATGTCTGATGTCTTTTCAAATCCAATGCAAAAATGATCAAAGACAAACAAAAGTGTCAAAATGTCTGTGTGTCAAAATGTCTGTGTGTGTGTTGTAGTGAAGTTGGTATATTTGATTGACTGATTAATTGTGTGCGTGTGATTATTATCACAACAACAGAAACTTACCCTGGTGTGTATTAGGGTCTGTAGTTTTATTGGTAATAAAAAGGAAGTGCTTGCTTTCAGTAAGCTCTGGAAACTGTATCTCATCTGTGATGGCAGTGACCCTTTTTTAAATGTGCTGAATCTAAATTATCAGCAGCTCTTAACAGAAATTGTATTTATATATTATGTATAGTCTACATTTCAGGGATTTACTATGCATCTGGAGCTTGCAAGGAAATACGAGTCTTGACTTAATGCTTGATGGATACACAAGGCAAGTGGAGGTTTCATTAAATTAATACGTTTTATTTCTCCCCTCTAAGCACATTGTCTTCACAGGAACAAAATTGGAGAAATTATCTCATACCTTAATAATAATTTCCATATCTGGCACTTCCAATCCCATAATTACGAAATAATTGCAAAACAATTTTCATAGTTAGGAAAAAAGACATTGTTATATTTGATATTTCTTGTAAAAAAAAAAAAAGGGCCTACATGTGTTCAATCAAGTGAAGACTTTTATTGCTTTTTCAAAAAACACAGAATCATATATACATATTAATATTTATCTAGCTATGAGGATAGAAAAAAGTTTAAAAGTTTTTTTTAATCATTAAATTCAAAGACAGAATCAAATACATGCAACATATCATCACATAAAATTCATAACAAAGGATAGAAAACACAAAGTCTAGGGACATGTCATGTCTCAATAAGGTCATAGGGAGATGACGGGGCACTAAAACAGATTTATAAACCAAGAAATTATAAAAGAAAGTACAGTCCTCTCTCTCAATATAGTCTTTCATCTCAATGTTCTTGTGTTATTATAATCTGACCCATAGTTTTCTGTTTGAGGACAGTTCCAGGTCAAATGTGAGACCGTTTTATCTGGACTGTGACAAAAGGAGCAGCTGGAGTTGATCTCTATCTTCTTAGGAAAGATCTGATCAATTTAAACTTCTCTCGCGCTCACTGCAGAGGAGCAGACTTAACTCCAGGCCGCATCCTCTATGACGCGTCCTTATTCTTCGTACTTGCGCACTTGCCTGAAACATGACGTAGAAATATCGCGCAGAAAAGGTTACCGAAACATTACAAAGAGTAAAGATGCGCAAAGAGGCAGACCATCAACAACCTCTACCGAGTCCGCTCTCCCACAATCCATTGCGAGAATCCGTCCCCTCACTTGACTACATGAGCCTCCGGAGCATCTGACACTTAAAGGCTCTTTGGTGCTTCACACGTGGGGAGCTTTAGCACGTCGCTACATCTCTGAAGGTAAAGTTTGAATTATTAGCTAACCTTATATCTTATAAACCTGCAAACAGTTGTGTAAACAGGTGACAGTTATCGTAGTGTCATGTGGTCGCTGCTAAAACGTGTCCGAAATGCTAGCCAGCAGCACGCTAGTGGTTAGCATTGTTGGGTGGGCTAGCTATAAGTAAACAGCTCGTGAGTTCATTTCATGTGGGTCGAATTGGTCCAGATTGTAGTGATAACAATGTTACACATCTATTGTGTGCCGATACTTACACCGTACTTTGATGAGCTAACTAACACACTGTCAGCTAGTTTAGCTAGCTGTAGTGTTGCCTTCAGGACAACCAGGAAAACCCTATATCCTGTAGTGAGCTGTATTCACTTCAAATTCTGTTTTTATTGAATTTAGCACAACGTTAAGGTTTGGGACTTAAAGGGATTTACCATCCACGAGCCTTAACATTTAAAACATGGTCTGTCCACTTTATCTGTCTGTGTAGAGAGACTGCTGGTGAATCATTTAGATGTTTCCCAAACACCACAAGAGACTTCACTTTATTTACAAACTGTAAATAAACATAACATAACACGTGTTTATGCCTCCAGCTATATAATCAACCAATCAATACAATTTTATTTGTATAGCTCATATTCACTGTCTCGTAGGGTGTGACATCTTCTGCCCTAAACCTCTAACAAGAGTAAGGGAAAAACTACCAACACATTGATTGATTAGAATAAAAAGTTTGTAACATAATGGAAAGTAAATGTATTGAGGTGTTATTGTAAGTAATGGTCGAGTATCTGAGTTAGCATATTGTATATCAAACAGTCTTGTTGTAATCATAGTCCACGATCAGGATCCACCAGCACAATCAGATGCCACCATCATCCACATCTGATTTTATAAATCTCTTTTTGTTAGGGCTTGTATACAAACCAAACCGAAGATGTCGACTGAGGACGTGGAGCGGATGCTGATCCAGTTTCAGAATGAGGAAGGGGAGATTCTGGGTTCACCTTTCGATGTTTCTCTAGACATCACCCCAGACAAACTACAGCTGGTCTGCAATGCTCTGCTACAGAAGGTAACCACATGGTTTTATGTAACTTCAACAGGATTTAAGGTGTGATCTTCACATGAAACATGCCTGTCTTTCAGGTTTCATTATTTTATTGCCATATCGATAAAGTTGATTGAAATATGGATTTTTGAGCTCACCCAAAAATGACAAGAAATAATACACATGCTCAAAATACATCATATGTAAGTATGAAAGACATGAATAATACCCAAGCTCTTAAAGGGGATTAAGTAAGAAATTATAAAACTAGTGTTACGATAAGTTAAAATAAATAAATCTCAGTCCTGTATCCAGGTGTTCAGGAGTTAGACAGTTTTGGGATATGTACTATTCTGGAATCTGGTTGTTCTTGTCTTAAAAGAAGGAGAATTAAAGATGTTGAGCTGGGTGGGAGGCGTCCTTCAAAATATTTAAGCTTATCTTTTGAAATCTGGCCTTCTACATTTCCTCTCCTACCTAGTTATATTATACAGGCTCATATGTTAATCACTGTAGTAGTCTTTAACACAGTTCTCACTCTTCCCATGATAAGTCCTAATTCCAAGTAATAATATTGCAGTAGCTAATGTAGATTTTATTCTTCCTGAAATTAAAACCGTTTAGATATACTATAAAAAGACTGGGTTCTGTTTAACCCCTCTTAGCTAACTTGTGACCCTTTTTTTAATGAAATCTTCTGTAGGACGAGCCAGTACCTCTGGCATTTTTTGTGCGAGGAGAGGCCGAGGTGGTGTCCAACCTGGGGTCTTGTGTGAAGGCTCTTGGCGTCGAGACAGAGCAGGTCCTGCCAGTTGTGTACCAGCCCCAGGCTGTGTTCAGGGTCAGAGCTGTGTCCCGCTGTACCAGCACACTACAGGGACACACAGAAGCAGTTATCTCAACTGCTTTCAGCCCCACTGGCAAGTGAGTAACTCTTATCTTAGCAAATTTGTTTGCCTGTTTTCATGATATTTAGTTCTGTAGATTTATCTTTGTGCCTCTTTTGATATAACAGCATTTAGAGGGAAACACATCTCATAGGCTCAGATATGTTGGTAATTAAGTTGTCCTTGTTTGTTTTAGGTATCTGGCTAGTGGTTCAGGTGATACCACAGTGCGCTTTTGGGACTTGACAACTGAGACGCCTCATCACACTGCCAGAGGTATAGTCTCCTCTGTGGGGCAGCATGATCTGCAATGTTTTAAAGATACAAATGATAAATCAGTGTGTTTAGAAAAGATTGAGCTTTATTCTGCTTTATTAAAGGACACACTCACTGGGTGCTCAGCATTGCCTGGTCACCTGATGGCAAGAAACTGGCTTCAGGGTGCAAGAACAGTCAGGTATACTTCCAACACACACGTCTGATCTCTGTTAAATGTGTCACACGAACATGCATTTATTTTTTTGTGGTTCTGTGTTTCTGCAGATCTGTCTTTGGGATCCAGTGACAGGTGCACAGATTGGGAAGACTTTGACAGGACACACCAAGTGGATCACCTGGCTCTGCTGGGAGCCTCTCCATCTGTAAGTACGCAAGTCATCACTTTCTCACATATGTAAACTGCCTCCTCTTATTATAGGGCTAGTGGGCTGTTTTCACTGAAAACATTTTGACATGTTGACACGTAAATTATAAAAAAGATTAAATTTATATTCCTCAGTTTCACTGTCTCATTGGCATGGCTTACCAAGATGGTTTCAATCAAAACTTTGATTGAAAACGTTTTTTTTGCTCAAGTAAGAAAATATCATTCAGACTTTATTTAATAAAATACAATTGGAAGATAACTGATAAGATCAGTGTGTGTGTATCTGCATTTCTCTCTCTCAGCTGACCCTGCAGTTTTAATCGTTCTGTCCTGATTTATTGTTTCTCTGATCAGTATATCCCTTTCTCTTTCAGTAACGCAGAGTGTCGTTACTTAGCCAGTAGCTCGAAGGACGGCTCATTACGAATCTGGGACACCGTGTTGGGACGCTGTGAGAAGATCCTGACTGGACACACTCAGTCAGTCACCTGTGTGAAGTGGGGAGGAGATGGACTTCTGTACACTTCTTCTCAGGACAGAACGATCAAAGTCTGGAGAGCCAAAGACGTAAGTGTGTGTGCATGCGTGTATGTGTGGCTGAGAAAATCGCACACATAATGAGCTGAATAAGAGTGAGGAGACATCTGTGTGGCAAAGCAAGTCTTAATGTGTGTAATGTGTGTCTGTGGATACAGGGTGTCCAGTGCAGGACTCTGCAGGGTCATGCCCACTGGGTGAACACACTAGCTCTCAGCACAGACTATGTTCTGCGCACTGGTGCTTTTGAACCTGCAACTGCCACCGTGAACCCACAAGACCTCAGAGGATCACGTAAGGCCTTAGAGTTTAAAGTGTGAACTGATGTTAAAACATGTTTCTTTGGAGGATTCTTTTCATGTAACAAGTATTTTTCCCCCAGTGGAAGAGCTGAAGGAGAAGGCCTTGCAGAGATATAGTAAAGTTAGAGTAAGTTATTCTCTGTTGTGAAGTATTGATGTGTAAATGTCTGTCTCCACTTTATATCAGTGCCCTTACTCCTGCTCCTCTGCTGCAGGGTTCCGCCTCAGAGCGTTTGGTGTCTGGCTCGGATGATTTCACCCTGTTCATGTGGAACCCTGCAGAAGAGAAGAAACCTCTCGCCAGGATGACCGGCCACAGCGCTCTGGTCAACGAGGTCCTCTTCTCCCCGGATACCAGGCTCCTCGCCTCTGCCTCATTCGATAAATCTATTAAAATATGGGACGGACGCACTGGAAAGTAAGACATTCTCTCAACCGCAACATCTGGCATTTTAAGAGGTGTCATAAATAATCTGTGTGTAATACTGCTGTTGTCCAGAGGATGGGGCTGTAAGCCTAATAGTGTTTCTATTACTTTATAATGCCTCTGCCTATTTGTCTATCTACCTGCAGGTACTTGATGTCCCTGCGTGGCCATGTGGCATCTGTGTATCAAGTGGCGTGGTCCGCAGACAGCAGGTTGCTGGTCAGTGGCAGCAGTGACAGCACTCTAAAAGTTTGGGATGTTAAGACTGGAAAGCTTAACATGGACCTGCCTGGCCACGCTGATGAGGTGAGGAAAGATGTCACAGGATTCATGACAGTTGTATATTAATTGGATTTTTTCCCCTCTAATACCAATGTTTGTTGTATCTCTAGGTTTATGCAGTGGACTGGAGTCCTGATGGACAAAGAGTGGCCAGTGGCGGGAAAGACAAATGTCTCCGAATGTAAGTGAAATGCCAAAAACCGTTTTATCTGTTTAGTCAACTGTTAAATATCAGTGTTTCCTCTGACCTAACACCGTGGCAATCTTTTGTGTGTGTTCCCAGATGGAGAAGATAGCCAGACCTCTGTTCTCCTGACTGACGTTGGCTGAGGATTCACATCTTCTAATGTCAAGAAACCCGACAGCTGGAGCAAGGGTGACTAGACTGTTCCTAATCCCCCATTTGGCTTTATTACACTGTCTGTCAAATGTGGCATTGTGTCAAGGAACTCTACTCTGGTCACGATGCAGACGTCATGGGAATACTGATGAGTGTAAAGGTGTTCAGCTCAATGGAACTGAAAAATGGGAGACATTCTTTTCATCACAACAACCATCCATAGACCATTTCAAATAGAAGCTGTACTGTGAGGATTTCAGTATTGGCATCTCAGATTTGCGCTATGAAAGGGTTTTGTATCCATGTACATACTGTTCATGTACTTACTGAATATACAGAAACCACAAACAAGGACTTGTATTTAAAAATGAATACATTTCACCAGCACATTAGGAAACATATTTCTCAACAGCATGTTCGTCCCCTCTTTCACCTTAAGCTTCACTAAATGACCTATATCCTGAAGGGGACAGGTGGGAGTGCTAATACCTTTCTCTGTGATGTTAATGCCCACGGAGCTCGCCGTGTTCTATCAGCCTTTAATCTCCTCAGTCCCGCGGTCAGCAAAGCCGCAACCCGCTGTATTTTCTGCCTGTGTAGCAAAGCCAAGTGTCACCAACTCTGAACCATGCGATTCTCATCAGTGAGGAAAAACCAGGTACACCATTCCAGCTACAAGATGTTTTATAATCTGTATCAACTTCCTTTGTGAAAATTTAACACCAATACATTTAAATCACAGCATTTACGTCACTTCCAGTTAATTTGAATAACTGATTCTATGTAAAAAAAAAACAACCTATAAGACAATAAATAACAGCATTTTATAAATCAGCATCATTGAATACAAACTTTTCAATGCTTATTAGAAAGGTTATAAACATGATTTTTTGTTTTGTTTTTACAGCTCCTAGATGTTGCACAAGCATATCAGACCAAAACTAGACATGCACTCTAGTAGAGCACATACATGTATTTTCACCCAAGTCCCAACAGTCCCCTTCAAATCCCCAAATTGCAAACACTCAAATATCGGTTCCATAAATATGCCTGTTTTTTATTTTTCATCAAGAGCCATGAATTTCTCCCAAGAAAATCTGTGGAAATGTCACAAAAAAACTCACTATCTCACAATGTTAAAGAAAGTGAAATAAAAATCCTGGATCCTGCCCTTTGTCCGGATCCATGCCCAAATTGAATGGATTCTTTCTTGACCCATGTTCCACCAAGTATTTGTTCGGTAGTTTAGTAGTTGTTCCAACCAAGCACCAAACAAACCAACAGGCAAAAAACACAACCTCCTTGGTGAAGGTAACAAATTAATTGTCTTAACACACAACCAGAATCACAACAGAATAAAGTTACAGATGTAAGTCGAGGGGAAAAATTGATTTGTTTGGGGAGGAAAGTATGCGCATTATAAACATGGGGGGTGGTGGGGCCCAGCACTTTCATAGAGAGGGATACACATGCACTGACGGGCACATGCACGTACATAAACATGCACCTCAGCACGCCACTACTCTATATCTTTATGTAGTAAATAGTTGTTGGCTGATTTATGTTTAGTATCACTTTTACCTTTCGAAGACACTTTCTACATTCCTGAAGGCAGAACTCACCCAAAATTCCATATACACACAAACTCACAGTACAGTTACCTTTGCTCAAATCATTTCTATTAAGTATATTGAGACCAATGAAACCACATTATTTCTAAATATTTCTTCAGAGGTCTCCACATCTGATGACCTAAATCAAACTGAGCACTGATGTTTTTTTAACAATATTCTTTATTGATGTCTTACCAACATGTTTATTTCCTTTCAACTCAAATCATTCAATATGCTTGACAGGCTCCTCTGAAATGTCAATGATTACACAATATGAATATACTGTATAAAGAGGTCCACACGGTGTTAACCTGGTTATACAAAGCAGTAAAGCAGAAGCACAAAGTTGGTAACACAGTAAAAAAATGTGCTTTGGTTAGTAAAACCAAAGTGGCAGCGAGATATTTTAGATTCTACAGAAGTAGTTTGGCAAAGAGCAGTAAAAGGCTTCAATGCGAGGCTGTGTAATGCAACTAGGTCAAGGAAAAGCCTCACTAAAATACTTGCTTTGCTATCAAGCCTCTGACACACCTACTTTTTCCCCTGTTGAGGTTCAATGCATGTAAACACTATGTTAGACAAGAATGAGTGCATTCAATGATACTAATGAACAATTTCATCAGTTGACGTACAAAATACTTATTTTAGCTTGACATAAAAAACAAAGGATACTCAAGTGACGTAAATCTTGAATCTGAATATAACATTAATGGTCATATATTCCCAAATAAAGCTGTTGAATTCATTTGTAGAGATCACAAGCACCTACTGAATACTTCTGTAACTTAATCGATGTTGACAATTTAGTATTTTTTTCAAGGAAGTGGGAAATGAGTTCATAAACTTCTACCAGTATTTTGCTACATATTATTTTTGCTTCCCAACAGTATGCTTTAATGTTGAGTTAGTCATGTCTGGTCTAAACTTAGAGTTACTGACTCCAGACCAGTTGGTGTAGTGTCAGCAAGCCTGTGAGTCACTGTCAGTGTGTAACAGGACAGATGCAACATCAAGTTTCATTCAGCCATACTCTTGTTTGTCAGCCGCAGCCATAAAATAAGCAGTATCTACACTTCATCACTAAGACACAGCGACAAAAATACTGTGAGTACTTAAGTACAACGATGTCACAATCACAGTCAAGTAAGCGATTACAACACCAAGACGTGTTGAAGTACTGCACAGACATTTTAAATTTCTGCACCAGGCTCGTTTTGTGTCCAGTAGCATCCCAGTTCTTCCCTCAGTATTAAGTAGTAAGTACTTAGTGAATCAGAAGACACATTTATGGTTTCAGTACAAAGTGGTCACTCTACAACATGTACAGTAACAACAGTCATAGAAAGCTTAAACAATAGAAAAACATAATGCCTCTTGAAATCTACTCAAGTAATTTTGTGCTGCTTCTCTAAATACTGAGTTATGTTTTTTGTAATCTGACTCAAGAAATTGAGTCTACAATTTGGTCAGGTGCAGAGAATAACACATCACCTACTTCATTACCTTCTTTTCCTTTCCTGTTTCCTTCAAAACAAAGGGATCCCTCTTTATTCCCAAATCTGACCACTAGAGACGAGGAGAAATGCAAAACTGAGCTGTTTATCCTGCAACTAGACATTCTCCCTTTGTTTTCACCGTTTGTAGATAGGTCCTGCAAAAGAATTTATGAGTGGAAGCTGCTCAAGATGAAGTGTCATCTGCTCTGGGCGAATGCAGGGAGCTAGTATGAACTGGAGTAGAGGTGTTCAGTTGTGCGTAGCATGATGCACTGCTCCGTGCTTCCCTCTGGACCTCTGCCACCGAGCGGTCGGTCTACTGGGTCTTCCACATGTTGTTGAGTAGTTTGACCACCTCCTCGTAGATGACAAACACTATGGCCACGTCCAAGCACACACGGCCAAGCCTGGGGACTGTCCCTTTGTAGAATCTGCAGGAAGGACAAGGTGAGATGTGAGGGTTCATCTGAAACAGTGAAAACTGAAACAATTCAAACCATGGATCTGGGTTACTCACGCTTGTGGTCCTTCGTGCTTCAAGATCTGGAAGGCACAGTCCACTGTGTTTTTGTAGCGGTGAGCCTCCAAACCCTAAAAAAATAAGCGTCTTAAATAAGGCAAACCTGGTGACAGTAGACTCATCAGTGGATGGACTTCCTACCTGCATCCTAGTCTTCACCACATCCAGAGGTGTATTTCCAAAAACACTAGCAGCTCCAGCTGTTGCGCCAAACATCGCTGTGACAATCGGGTGCATGTCTCGTCTGGGATCATCCCCTTTGAGGCCAAATCCAGGAGTTGGATTCATGGAAGTGAAAAGAGGATAGTAGGAATTTTTCAATGAGAGGATTTGGATCATTTAAGAAGAAAGAGAGAGACATTGGATTTAGTTTTGCAGTCTTTCTCACCTTTGTACCAATTTCGTAGTGCATTCATCACATAGAAACGAATGGCCTGATTGCTCCCTTGTTTCAGCACTGTCGCTGTCAGTCCTTGATACGTCCCCCGCACACCTACAGTCAAACAGATTCGGTTTCACTATGGAGCACTAAACATTCACAGACAAATTTCTAGTCAAATCTGGAGTTTGTACTTGTAATTATTTTAGATTCACTGCTCTCTTTACCCTGTTCTCTAATAATCTCACTGACGCCATGGAAGAAGCCTCTGTAACGAGGTCTGAGGGAACACTGGTCGTGGATCATCTTAACCTGGACCAAAACAGAAAACCATTTAAGTCACGTCAATGTTGATTAAAAAGACACTGGAGAGTTTTTTTTTTTCAAAGTCCACCGACCTTGAGTGTCTCCATCGGACAGACCACCACGATGGCCTCTGCTATCCCTGCTCCCAACCCACACAAGAGGCTCCGCGTGTTATCCAGCCGACCTGTGGCATCTCGCATCGGGTTGCTGAGCATCTCAAATGTGCCAAACCTGAGAGAAAGAGGGGGAGGTGACACATTCACGGGAAAAAAACAATGGGTGGACATTTGTTTGATGGAATTGATAAATGCCTGGTTCCAAACAACTGACTCAATGGTGCTATCAAGACGAGACGAAGAAGATACTGAGTAACTAAGATCTTCAAGCAGGGAGTTCCAGAGATGAGAAGCCTGGAAAGCAAAGGCCCTGTGAACTCTAGAGATTAGATCATCTTGACCTCTTAAGGTTTTGTAACTTTTTACAGACCGAACAGTTATTGAAGACTTGCACAAAAAATACAATAAATAGATTTTAACAGGACTAATCAGTTGCAGCCCTTTACATTTGGCTGGCTTTAACTTTAAGTACTGAGAAATGCTGAGTCGGCGCTTTGACACAAGTCAACTGTTTAAGTAATTAAAAGATTACAACCTTGACGATATGTGACTCTTAAAGAATGTAAGAGCCAAATGTGCTTTACTACTGCAGCTGCAGTGTTTTTACACATAATCCGGTAAATTACGTGCTGTGTGTCGTGTGCATCTTTACCTCACAGCAGATTTGGGTATTGATCCATAGAGCAGCGAGCTGAGTCCTCTATACAACCCTCGGAGTCCGTGATCCTGCACTGTCAACTTCACACAGTCGCCTGGAGACACACACACACACACGGCGTCCAGGAGTGAGTAACCCAGCAGGGGATGAGCACACAACCCAGCAGTCAGTCATACATGTCCCAGTGACCTACCAATGCCTCGGTATCGCGGCGGGTTGGCTCTCTCGTCTAGCTGCAGCTGGGTCTTGACATACTCAGTAGGGAAGGTGATGCAGATCTCGATCCCTCCTGCGATGCCACCTGGGTGAGGGCGAGAAAGGGGAGAGAAGAGAACTGCATGTCAATCTTTGTTGACTAACTGCAGGATTGTTTGTGCATGTTCTGAGATCAGGAGAAACCAGAATCTCCGTTTCAGTAAATGTAAAAAAAGATTAAATGATGGATTAAATGCAGAGTGATGCTAATGTTGAATCAGTGCTGGTGTGTTGGATCTTTGCCTTAAATAAATGCTGATGTGATTATACAGCAAAATAGCCGGGGTTACTGAATGCACCTGCCTCTATTCAAAACACAGCATTAAAACTTTCAGCATCTTTATATATATTAAATAAGGAAGACAATGTGAGTATGATGATAAATAAATACAGAAGAGTAACACAACTACATCATGCAACTGCTGTAGCATCACTGCTGGCCCTGCGCGTTTTGACCCAGTTCTGCATGGATAACCTTAATGGGCGATTTGAGATTAGGCTGCGCTTTGCTGAAAGCGATAGGCGACTATGATGAAGGGGGGGGGGGGGACCTGCATGCTCAATCTTTGCGTCGCAATATCAACCTGCAAGAATAGCTTTCCCGGGATGCGTCATTTTCCCCCCTCCGACCGCGGCCGCCGCCAGGTTCCTCCTGGCCGCGTACGAGCTCTGGTGGGCCGGCAGAGAGCCGCCCAGCCCCGCCGCGGCGCTCAGACGCTGGAATGGAGGCTGCTGATGCGGAGCCGGACTCGGGCATCCTCTCCGGACACCACCGCTGCTCTCGCACGGCCCCTCGCACACCGCGAACGGCTTCAGTAGCGACGACATGTCTGGTCGCACAGAGGCTGGTTCCAGAAGATCCTGCACTGGGGCGAAGGTCCCAGTCAGACAATGTCACACAATAACAACACAGGGAGGAGGGCGGACCGATCGTGGCGGCAGAGGCAGCATCAATATTCAAAGAGTGGTCAGGTGATGGGCCGGGCCATTGGCTCACCACGCTGCCATACTGTCATTAGTCACGTCATGTGACCATGCATGACTTCTGGCCACCAATAGGCTGCAGGATGCTGATGCACTGATGTGTCAAGACTCATTTCCAGTCTGACTAGAGGTGTGATCCTGTTGACGACCACTACAATCCCTCTGCTGCTCTGACCACTTATATTCACAAATCTTATATCATTTATGCATTTAGCAAATATTGAAATGATACAATTTGAAGCGATCAGATGTATGTTCTCTAAATGTGCTAGAGTAGTCAATGAAGATAAGGTGAGATAATCCTTTGTTAGTCCTACAATGGGGAGATTTGCAATATTACAGCAGCAAGAGTCAAAAATAGGCATCACTAAGTAAAATTTGTAACGTGCATACTTCAGTGTAAAGATNAAAAATACTCTTTTCTTTCCAAATCCATGGCACAAAGAACTGAGGTTCCACTGAGCAAAAGGAGGTGCTGTCCAGAACTGCAATGCTTTTCTTAATAAAGTTCTCGTATTAGATTTTGCACAAAGCTTAACTGGGCCTTTACAAATCCTGCTTTTTTAAGCCGGCGCACAATTCACACAGACACCTGGAGGCAGCCCCTGCTCAAACACCACTTCTGACTGAGTGACTACTGTCAACTGAGCAGATCAAGAGCTGAAATTCAGGGTTAAGCTGTTCGACTGCAGACGTTTCAAAACCAGGAGTCAAGTGTTAAGTGCAAAGTCTTCCTTATTTTCTCTTCACAGAGCTCAAGAGCTGGGATTCAAACCGGTGACCTTCAAGCCACAGAGCTCTTGGAATTCTAGGTCACGATCATGCATGAAAAGATATTCTCCTCATACAGTATCGTGCTTTTCTCCTCTTTGCTTACGCACGGTTCAGTAATTGAAGACTCTAAATCTAACTAAGCAACACTCTGACCGCCCCGTGACTAATGCAAATGATAATAATGGATGTATGCTCATATTAAAACAGCACAATGTGAAGAATTGTGGGTGTTTTTGAAATGTTGACGGCAGAACTCAGCAAAGCTTTATTTATAGAGTGATGAGCAGGTTGTAATTGTTTCTGACCCATGAGGCTTTTAATTATCTGAGTGAATTACACAGATGCATTCAGTGTGTCTTCAAGTCTACCTTTGCTAATTCAACAGCAGAAAACAACACATCAGGCCCAAGGGTGCAATACATACAATAAACCAATCTGAGTGCCATCTCCCATTCTTTTAAAAGCCAGGTGAACTTGCACCTGAGCATATTTATATTAAAACGGCAGGTAGAGTGTATTTTAATGCATCCTTGTTTTTGTCGTGCTGCCTCTTGTACACATTGTTAAGGCCTTTGAGGTTAATTATGAATTATGATCTACCGTCGAACACACAGTAAGAATAATTACATTATTGAATCAATACAACGACAGTAAACAACTTTTCTCCATTATTCCTCAGACAAATGACTTTGTGGTCAAATGTGCTTTAAAAATTAAACCGCCTTCATCACCCGACTGAATCCACCTGAGCCGCGAGGGGGGAACAGACACAAAATGGCTGCTGCAAAAACGGCCGCAACTCTGACATCCAGAGACAAAGCGAAAGATTTTTGCAGTCTAATGGTGCACAAATGGACTCGGCCTGAACTCTGCTGCTCCACTCAATAAAATTCATTAAGACTGGGAGAAATAGGGAGACGGAGCGAGAGACCTCCACTGACAGAGGTGGAGAGAGAGAGAGAGAGAGTTGTTGTGTTTTAATAATTCCTGGTGGTCTTTTGTCATTCGTACAGGATCAATACGAACCCTCCATCTGCAGACACGAGCAGCCGATCAGCATGGTCGCAGAGCAATAGATCAGGCTGATTAATCAATAACCATTTAGCTGGGTGGAGAGGGGAAACAACTGGAGAACAATGAACTATCAAATGCACATTAATACTGTCTGTCAGACTGTCTGCCTGCCTTTGTGCACGTCTGACGGGTTTATCTGTCTACTTATCGGCCGGGCCCCGTCTATCGTTCGTTGCGAGGCGTCCGTTAATCTGTCTTCCTGCAAACCTCCGTGCTCACGCCGCAGATTTTGTCGACAGCGCATGTTTTAATGAAGACGCCTCCTGTACGTCTGCATTCACTGACATCTCTCTCCTCTTTTGTACGTTCTTTTTTATTCTCACTCTTAAATACAGCTGGCAGTCAGTGGGCCGCTAAGACATCACACCTCCCACTGGTACAGCTGCTTCCCGATGCACAGACACACACACACACACACACACACACACACACACACACACACACACACACACACAGTGCCTCCCCATCACCCTTTACAATGAAACTAGGTCAGTGTTTTCACTCGCACTCATACCCAGAACCCCAAGCCCCTGAGAAAAACAGTCAAAAAGAGTCAGTGAGTCAGCCAAAACTCAACAAACTAAAATGATCAGTTGTCGATCATTAAGTCAATTAATTTGTAAAACAAACTAATTTCATGCTTTAAAGGTTCAGTGAGTAAGATTTAGGTGAAAGGGATCTATTGGCAGAAATCATATTTTCATTAGTTTGTTTCATCTAAATTGTATGAATTGTAGTTTTCTTTATCCCAGAAAAGGCCCTTTATATGTAAATACTTTATATTTTCATCGAGGGGGTCCGCTCTATGGAGGCCGCCTTTTTTTTTTTACATTAGTGCAGATTGGATAAACTAAACATCTTTTGAGTTTTTATGATGGCTGAAGTTCACCACAGGTTCTTTTCATGTTTGGAAGGGGAGGTTGAGTTGAGAGGTGTTCAGCTGCGACATACAATTTCAACACTAGATATAACAAAATTGTACACACTGTACCTTTAATTGTTTTATTTCTTTGAACTTACCATCTCTTCTACAAGCTCCAGTGCTTGTTCTGACAATATTTCCTTCACTTCCTCTGCCAGTCATTTCCTTGACTTGTTTGCAGCAGCCTCTCTACTTCCCTGATTTCCAAAAAAGCCCATGACTCCATGTCTCTGGACCTGCGGTATCGAGGTCCCGCCAAGGCACATACTTAGCCAATAGCGAGTCTGTCTCAGCTGTTAATCATGACATTTCTTTATTCCATCAAATAACTCATTATGACCAAAGAATCACGACCAAACATTAGTGTGATAAGAACTATGGAGGAGGAGGGGTTTATTACGTATACTGCAGCCAGCCGAAATGGGGGGCGATTTAGATGCTTTGCTTTATTTTGGGGGAGCTGTCACGTCGTCAATCTTTATATAAAGTAAATTGTCCTGAGCAGAGAATAGTTATTCTGTCTCTTCAGTGACTTCCACTCAAGTCCCACATTGTTTACAAAATCCTCCTCCTCACCTATAAATCCCTTGCTCTGGTCCCCTAGACCTCCTTCAGCCTTATACTCAGTCCAGGAACCAATGGTGCTTGGACACAGGTCTTTTCATCAGCCTAAGGACCTTTGGTGACAGGGAATTCAGTGTGGCACACCCCCACCCTCTGGAAGTCTCTCCTGGCAGATATTCACAATGCCCCATCTTTCAACACAACTTTTCTAAACCCATTTAGTCACAATCTTTTGACCAATAGATGTATTATCTCCAGCTAGCAATATTAGTTTCTGCTGTTGGTTTTTTTAGTTTTATTTCCTCTTCCCAGGAGTTTTTGTGTTTCCCCCCTCACCATTGGTTTGTTTGTTTGTTGGTTGGGTGGTTTGTCGGCGGTTGGGCAAAATCTACCAGATGGATTCCCATGAAACTCTGTGGAAGGATGGGACATGGGCCAAGAAAGACCTCATTAAATTCTTTTACAGATCCAGACAATGGGGTGGAACCAGGAACTCTTTATACTTAATTTAACAGTGTGAAGGGAACAATTTGGTTTTATTTTCATGCTCAAATGACTCTCAAATAGTTACGGGTGTAAATTGGCTCCAGCTCCAAATGACAATTAGTAAACATGACACTTTTCTACGTTGTGATGTCTTTCATAACACACAAACACCGTAACTTAAACAATCTACGACACTGGAAACATTTATAAAAGTATTTAATATATGGATGAACAAATTTGTGGACAGTTAACAATCAAGTAAAAAAAATCTGAACTAAAATACGGTTGCGGATCCAGTTAAAATTGATTGTTACTGTCACAAGCCGAGGTTGCATAATAAAAACAGGTTGTACTGTGACTGTGAAACCATTTATAGCAACGAGTAACATCTGAAATGTGAGACATGACTCACGTCTAAAGTTGTTTTGCTCTGAACCGCAGACAGCCGAGCTTCTTGTTCACTCCAGTCATTGGTGGAGGAGTCTGTCAATCCCAAGATACAAGATGTGATTGGACTGCTCTTCAGTAGGGTATAGGCTAAGCAAAAATCAGGCAGAGACCTTTTCTGAACTTTTTTCAGACCACCAGTATTAGATCGTGATAATGCTGACAAAAATCAAAGGACTCGCAACTGTGTGTCCAAATGTTTGAAAAGGAAGACCAGCTCTGAAAGACTAGTCTGAATTAGGACTTCAAGTTACGCTGCATTTTTAAAACAGAGATTTCCCCTTTCACAAATTATGTTTCAATGTTTCATAATTTCTTTTCCCCAACATATGCCCAGTAGTTTTCAGATCCTTATTTCACCCTCTAAACATCATACAAGCATACACTCGGCTTCAGAATATAGTGTATTCATCCCATAACTTTCTGGTACACATGCAGTTTATTTGTATGAACACATATTAAACATGAACTCACCATGAAATAAGGAATGAACATGGCTTTGAGTAAACAGACAGTTGCTCACCAGAAGAAACAGATGTTTAACATTTCAGTGCAAAGTCCTCAACGCATTAACACAGAGAGTGGACAGGCCTGTTATTTTTATTAAGTGCAGTCAGTGTTACTCTCTGACGATGACTCTGTTTATTTGTTTGAGTTCCTCAGCCCGTCATACAGCAGACACTTAGCCTGTGCACAGAGAGAGAAAACAGTCAGAGGCCCTCAAGTTAAACACAGTAACACAATCTGTGGTATGTTTGGCAGAGACTGAGCTTGTTTGTTTCTTTTTATGTTGGTGTGTTTTTACAACCTCATGCCAACGCAGGGTGTCAGGGGGCAAGCCCAGATGACAGTGAGGACACGTGTGCATCTGGTTGGGTGCGTCCTGGTGTCGTTGCCCCCAGCAGGGTCCCTCACTGCCCCACAGAGGGCGACATGTGGAGTGGGATGACCAAGCCACACCAAAGTGAGGGCGAGGGTCTGTCTGGTAGCTCACTTTCTGGCCACTAGAGAGCAGTGGTGACGAAGGAACCGAGTCCTCCTGCAATGTACCCACAGGGGCGAGTTGTGTCACCATAAAGGGAAGAGCTGCTCCAACATAGAATTATAAAGAATATTTTAAGCCACACATTCAGGTAAAACCGAATTTGGAAGGGATATATCAGGAAAAATTCTTAAATTCATCACTATAAGTTGTCCTCAGAGAACTGACTTTAAGAACTTTCTCAATATCATCATGAATTCATGTCTTCATACTCAGTGCTCCGACTTGTCGGAGTCAGTTCTCTCTTTAATGACTAATTTAAATTATTAATGAACTGTAGTGAATTGTTTGGAAAAGTGTTTGACTTTTGACCTTGAAAACAATTACTCCACGTTCTAATGCAAAAAATGTCTGTTAAAGAAAGTGCAAAAGAAAAAAAAGTGCATCCTTTCGATGTGCCAGCACTCGGCACTTTGTCTCTGTGAAATTATGTATTTAGTCAGAAATGTGGAAACCTGTTCCGGAGTTTCAGGACGATAATCTGAGTCGAGAGACCTCATGCAATACCAGCAGGGCACGGAGGAACGATCTGTGAGGAGACAAACTGTAAAAAAAAGGTACTACAGCAGCATTCAGTGTCACACACACAGTTAAAACTACCCTCGCCTCAGCATGTCTGCGCTTACTGTGTTTGTTGAAGTGATGAGATGACACTAAAGGGGGGGTCACCTCCTCGTCTGATGGCAGGGGGGGTGATGGGAGGCCGTCAGCATTGTTCTGTGTGTTTGTGGGTGTCAGACTCTCCTGTGGCAGGTCGTCTGTGTCACTGATACGTAGATCCTCCCCAACCTCCTATCAATCATAGAATACTGAGGCTGAATCTTGAGTAAAAATTAGTGCCCATTTCCCCCTGAAGACTGTTGCCTTTGTGTTCAAATAAAGGTACCTTTAAAATATAAAGTATATATAATTACAGGTGTTGTGGTAAAATATTCTTTTTTTGTTTGCCAAACCTGACCTGCGCGGGGTCAACCAGTCCATCGCAGGCTTCACTGTCGACCCTGTCGTCTCCCGTCGGCTCCTGGAGGTTTTGGGGCCCGTCTCCTTCCTCGCTGCAGCCTTGCGTCAGTTTGTCAACCTGGGTAGAAGTCGTCCCACTGAGGTTCGAGAGAGAAGAATTAAAAAACATGCCCTCCTAACTGCCTGACGAGAAGGTTATCAGCCAATCAATCTTCAGCTGATTGCACCCGCTCAGCCTCTACTGTTACACTCAAGGAGGGCACCTGATTAGTCATAAACAATCACACTCTTCTTGCCTTACCTTTCCGTACTTTCTCCCCAGTCCTCCCTCTCTCCCTCCATCCCCGCTCATATGTTTCCCTCCCAGGGTGCCTGTTGTGTTATTTCCTCTCAAACCCACTGTTCTTGGAGTTTTCCCTCTCTTACTCAGCCCCCATGTGTGTCCTCCCCTCTGTCTGTCTGCCTCTCCCCCTCCCTCGTCGTGTGTGAAACGGAAACTCCAGGCTTTCAATAATTGATGTGTCTGAATAGCTCACAAGCAGGTTTCTGTAAAGAGTAATCAGGTGAGGGCTCTGGTGACTCTGTGGTGGAGTCAGCTTTAACACAAACAAGGCCTGCTGAGACCAACACTGAAAACAAAACTGTAAATTCAGCTCAGTTTGTATTATATAGCATCTCCACCCTGTAGTATGACTACTCTATTTGTAGGACTATAACGTAAAATAAAAATAAGTCATACATTCGAAAATGTAGCTTCTAATTCAATTAATTAAGCAATTTTCCTGAGAGCTATGTTACAAGTTAGCAAATGTTTGGATAATGGATGATCGTTGGTCTTTATTTCAGCAACATTTTTAAATGTCCCCTAGTTCCACCTCATGGGCTGTCTCACATATCGACTAAATATATCTTTGGACATAAACATGTCACTGCAGACTTATCTGACACTACAATGTCTCTCATTAAATCATATACCTCTGCCAATGCTCAACAGATATATTGAATTCACTAGATCTAGATTTTTATTTGGATCTGCAACAAACTGCACACACTTATAAATGTCAGTCCCCTAAACAGATTCATAAATGATTCTCTGGGAAATCATCCGGCAATGGAAAAAACTTATGGGTTCTTCCCTTGGTCATTCCCCACTTTTCACCTAATTTTATGGAAACGGGCTCAGTAATTTTTGTGTAATCCTGCAAACTAACAAACAAACATATCCTCATGGGTAGAGAAAAATATTCAAGTTGCAGTTGCTGGTTTATTGTAAAATATGAACATAGTGTATCAAATCAACAGTGTACTGTTACAAATGTTGCAATAGATCAATAATCAGAAGTACATTTACTCAACACAGTTTTAGGTATTTACACTTAAGAGTATGTCTACATTCCAGAGGCAAATATTGTGCTTTTTACTTCACGATACTTGTATCTAATTGTAATAGTAACTAGTTACCTTTCAGACTGAGATTAAATATAGAGAGCATAGTCTATGATTTGGTCGGTTTCTCTTCACTGGATGAGGCATGATTAAATTATTATGTGCGTCATTCTGTACATCATGTTCATTCAGGACTTCCATCTTGTGTCCACATCAGCACCGTGACTGCAGTGCTAGTGACTCATCCTTCCAGCAGATGGAGGAAGAACATTTCTTTTCGGGTTCATCATTAAATGAGACCAAAGCCTCATCACTAACCCATACAGGGAATTTCTTTCTCACTCTCTTCTTCCCTCTCTTACCTTGTGCTCACCTAGTTCAATCGCATCTCTTACACGAGCAGCTCCACATTTAGCTCTCTATTCACGCATTTAACTTCCTCATTAACATGAGAGTGCCTTTACAAACTTGAAGTAATCTCATAAGATATGATAGGCAGCGCACATCAATGAGCGCCATTTTCGACCATAATTATCAACTAAATGATGTGACTTGAGTTTTGATTTCAGGATGGTGTTGAGGAGTGTGTGTGGATTCTTCCATGTCTCTAAAGGGTTGTGTGTGTGTGTGTGTGTGTGTGTNGAGAGAGAGAGAGAGAGAGATCCTGTAAGTGCATGGCAGGTAGGGAGTAATTTAAGTTTTTTCTCCTGTATATGTTTTTTTTTTGTAGGAGGTGGGAGACAGGAACATAAGTGGCGATGAGTCACCAGTCTTTTGTGACAGTGGCGCAGGGAGAGTGCTTTTCACCCATTTCCCTCCCTTGGGGCTTGCATACAAAACAAGAAATGGAGAGAAGAGAAAGGAGAAAAGGAGAAGAAGATTGTGTGTTAGGGAGCATTAAGGGGGGAGAGGGGGCATGGATAATTGGAGGAAAAAGGGGAGAATATGGGGAAGGAGGAGAGGGTTGGGATAAAGAAAGGAAAAGAAGAGATGAAAGGAAGGAGCAAAAAAAACAAACAAGGGTTGCAGAGATCATAAAGAAAGGACGCCGTTTCAAGGGACCAGCCTTTGTAGCTCAGCTTGCGTCGTCCAAATGGCTGGTAAAAGCATTTCTAATGAGGTGCATTGTGAGTTCAGAATGGTCTTTTAACAGACAAGAAAATTAACAAACAGGAAGATGACAGAACCGAGATGAGGTCAGCAGCAGCCTCATACGGTTCAAACATTTTGACTCTTTTAGTGGCTTTTGTACCCACAGAGGCGTCTAATAGTCACAGATAGACTCCGCAACCTACTGCATTAACAACCAAGTGCTACACAATGGATGTTTCCATGCTTCAAATTGATGTATAACCATGTTAATAGCAATTTTGTGGTTTTGAAACTAACTACACTTTTGCCTTGTGGTGTCTATTGAAGTTTTCTCACATGCTTCGTTTTTCGGGGTGGAGTTTTTACCCAAAATGTTCTATTCTTACAGCTTAGTTTTAAGACGCTGGACGAGTGAGCTGCAAAATGTTAAATTTAAACCATTTGTACAGTGAGTAAACCTCTTGGATTTAGAGCAGGAGAATAATTTCATACTTTGCTTAACAAAATCAAGAGTTATAAAGTAAACTATCAAGTACAACACCTCAAAATCAGTGCGCCTTACACTTTTCACTTGGCGCACCAAAGCACCGATTTTTGGTAATTGCCTAATTAAGAGGACTATAGAGTTCACTGGGTCAGAAAAGGCATCCTGACACACTTTGTTGGTCTTTCACTCTAAAGTTATTTAATCACAGTTACAAATACTGCAACGAACTCAGGTCATGTTTCAGGTTAAATGCCAATTAGCAGCATTTCTCAGTTGCAAAAGAGGTGTGGAAATCAGAGCTCTGGCATGTGAGCATTTCAAAGCAACATGAGAGAACTCAAACTCAACAAAGGCATGGCATGATCATGGCAGAACTAGAATGAATCTCAGTAGAGCATATACCTCTTCCAAGACCCAACAGTCTCTCTTTATAAAATCACATTGAAATTCACAAGATCCAGATTTTTTTGTGGATCTGCACCAGGGTCTTCCTGGGATCATGCCCCATCTATCTTTTTCATGGAAATGAGTTTTGTGGTTTTTGCAAAATCCTGTTGAGAAACAAACAAACTAGAAGTGCACTTGGAGAGTGGATACATCTGCCAAGGATAACATGAAAAAAGATTCCTTGATCTGCCCCCTGATCCAGATCCGCAGAAAGTAAAACAGTTGTTTTTTGTTATTTTATTTATTTATTTCAAATCATATCTAAATCTCAGTTTTAATGAGAGTCTTGGCCAAAATAGCTGCAAAATGAGGCTCAACACAGAGGCAGCACACACAGAAAAAACAGGACAAAGACCACAGGAAATCCATCATCTTCCATTTACTGAACAAAAACAAGCGAGTTATCATGCAAACAAATATGACCCATTTTTGTGTCAGTGTTTGCAATGATGATTTGGTCCCATTTCAGGTGGTGTCCATGCATAAACACATCCATTGCACAAACTCTTGCAGAGCCTGTGTTGGTCACTGTATTACCACTTGTTATGCATTCAAATTTAAAGGGTGAACCAAAGACCCACTACTGCTGTAGACATTTGTGATCATTATTTAATCAGATTTTGAAGGTCTTGTCGCTGTATTAATTCACCATTCATATTACTAATGGATGCATTCTTTCTGCTTCTATAAATGCTTTGGCGTCTTGGGGCCATTACTGATGAATGGCGGTGCTGTCAGACTCTTTTGTGCCAGAAGCTGGATGTAAACCAAATTTTGTGCCTGAGAGAGTTGGAAGCTTTTGAAAAATTCAAATTGCATTTTAATTATAGCACCCCCACCAGGCAAAAATATAAATGATTACTATAAGGACATAATGTGATCTAAAGCTTGACACACAATTATGCTATTGTGCTGGTATTTCTTTTTTTTTTCAAATCTCAATTGTGTTGTAAGTCACAGGAATAAGAATGTGGGAATGTAAATAGCAGCATCTTAACAATGCTGTTTTTGTCTTCAGCTTGGCAACAAGGTGTGAGAGACGACTTAACAGCTCCTTTTCATGAGCTTCCTCTGCATCATGTATTAGGAACGACTCAGCCACTCTCTCACGCCTCAAACCTGTTAAATCCACAGTTTGAGGGAGAAATCCATCAGGTAGAAAATAAAACGAGCTTGAAATATTACTTTTAAATCAATTTGCTAGTCATTAAACTGCCATAGTCTCTTATCTGAAGGGTCATATTTTCCCCAATAAAAAGTTTAGCTGTTCAAGAGAAAGACAAGTCTCAATTCACTCAGATATATCACACTGAGTACATTAATATCAATAAAACATCAACCCATCATTGAAAATATTCAGATTGTCACATTCTTTACAGATGGTAAATTCCCTGAGGTAAATTTGCGATCTTATATACAAGATATTTTACAATATTAAATAAAAACTGGCTTGACTTGGTGATGGGTTGAGCAGTCTGTCGGTGCTTGTGAATAAAA